TCAAAGTCCATTTAAGGAGGGCGGTGGGGTGGATGGATGTGTCAAGAAAACTCAGGACTTTCCCTCAGGAAACTGAGGTTCGTGTGCCGTGTGGTAAAAAGTCAAAGTTGACATGTTTTAAGTAAAATAATGTTTTGCAGATTACTTACTTCATGTGACTTACGTAATGTACTTATTTTAACCCAAAACACAATCTTTTCCTAAACCTAACCAAGTGGATTTATTGCCTAAAGCTAACCAAACTAGACCGTTTCACAACATTTACCATGTGTTAAAACGTCATGTGACAGGACACTTACGTAACATACTCATGGTCTGATTAGCCTGTCGCTGGACTGTTACTTACCAACGTCAAGTACAAATAGGTCTTATATGTCATTTTGGGACACTTGATAATCGTTGAGGACGTATTGGAAGCATGTGTTAAAATGTGCGCTTGTTAAAGTGTTTTTATGTATAGCAGTCCACCTGCAGTTGATTCAGTTACGCCCGTTCACCTCTATCTCGCTCTTTTAGAAATTATCTTGACAAAATGTCTCTAATCAAACCATGTGAGGCTGAATTTTCTGTGTCAGTGTCTGTCTAAGGCTGCATTTTCCATACCATACCCATGTGTTGATCTCTCTATACAACATAGCACAAAACATTTGCATCAAAGCCAAGCATGCACACGCACACAAACACACACACACACATACACACACTTTTTTTTCTCATGGGATCCAGCTTTTTGTGCCCTCTCACTCCCTCTGTCACTATCTCTACACACAAATACAAACTTTTGCTGGGTGACACCATGGGCAGGCAAGGTCACAATTTGTCTTTCACATGTTTAATTCTCTCTATATACTTTTTTCCTCTTTCTTTCACACTCACACACACATAAACACACACACAGTCACATACACACATAGAATACAGTTGCATCACTAGTGAATTACCATGCCGTTCCGCGTTATTAAACATGACACTCGGCCCAGATAATGGAGCCTTTCTTCATCTCAATTTGGAAGGCTAATCTTATTGCTTTGATTAGCAGCAGCTTAATTTGCATATCAAGGCCTCCCCCCCTTTAATTCCTCCATCGCAAATCCCCTCTTTATAGTTGTAGATAAAAGGAATCTATCTATATGTATCTTTCTTTAGAATCTTTTCTTCCGTCCCCCTCTTCTCCTCTCTTGTGCATTAACTCCTTGTTCATTTGTTCATATTCTTGTGTTTTCTTTTCTTATTTTTCATAGTCATCATCAGCTCAGCTTAGTCCTCTTTATTTCTCTCCTCTCTCGCATATATTGAAAGATCTCTATCATAAAACAACAAGAGAGGCAATAGTAAAGCATGACTTCATCGAGATGTGATTGGATGTTAGGTAATGGCCAGTAATCCTAGTTACTTATTGTCCAGTGGGATTCACACTCTGGGAAAAAGAGATGAGAAAAAAAAGAGAATGTTTCAGCAAAAGTTTAAATTACAGCCTACTATTAAAGTGTAACCGCAAGGTTACAACATCGACAATAAACAACTGCACTTTGTTCATATTCACTGCTGTGGTTTGGTTTGACCTTGAGACAAATAAACACAATTAAACTGAGAGAGAATAGATGATCATTTTTAAGTCCAGAACATTCTGCATAAAATCAAATTCTGGTGGCAGAAGATCTGAACACACTTAACTTTCTGCTTACTTGCCATAGACGGTATTTCTCGGCATGAAGAAAACACTACACAGCTCCATAACCCACACCACCACACCACTGAGATTTATGCATGTGATTTATTTGTCAGGTACAGTGTCTTGCTCTACACCTGTGCCAGATATAAAATGATGATCTAAATGTGTGTAAAGGTAGTAGCCTTCAGGTGGTGATCATCCTACTGTAACCAGCAATCACTGCAAATAAAAATGTAGTTTCTCTCTCGGAAAAGCATTGATGCTACCACATATTATGTACAGTGTATAATATACTGTATGTCATGAAGGCCTATCTCTGCATTGTAAGTTGTACAAATTGAGTGTAAATTGATTAGTATCCAAATACCTAAAGACAGGCTGGAAAACTGGACATCGTCCTTTATACCAGAGCACTTAGCCACATCTGAACAATAGCATTGTATTCTTGAAGCCATACAGCATATTTCAAACTGCATAGTTTTGAGAAACAATGGCATAAATAAAAAAAAAAGAGTGGGTGCAGTCAGCAGTAATCTGTTTAATACTCAAATTAAAAGTATAAAACATCGGAGAAAGGGAAAATGTGAAGCCAAACAGTCCATTAAGAGTCCATTAAAATATGAACTAATATCAATCTTATCATTTATAATATTTTAAATTGGTATTTCCAAATATGCAGTCTGGTTATGTTTGACACATGTGCTGACTTATTTGCACACACCAGTTACCTCAAACTAGGGGTGTGCAATACCACAAAATGTATTACCAATTTGATACCAAGTAACACCAGGGCCAGTGACACCGATTATTTTTTTATTATTAAAATCTGCTGAGAGCAGTGTGTTATTTATAAGGTGAATGCATAATTATTAGGCTAATCCTGAATGTATTTTCATTACCAGTGAAGGATATGCCAAACCTGAAGCCTTCCATTTCATCATGCTTTTCATTTATTCATTCATTTTTCTTAATTACATGAAGGTTAAAACACAAGACAGTGTTTAGTGGTTCTTAACAAATGTTTATCTATTTGGAATTTTAATTAAGCAAAAGTATAGTATAATACAGTATTACTAAGCATCACTAATGTTGCAGCAGGTGAAGGACCATTTTACATACTTCCAGTTAGCTTAATCTATAATATATCGTGATTTATTAGTTGATTAGATGATATATTGTAATAAATAACTTGAATCTGTAGTATCTGTTTCCAAAATGCAGTGGATAGAAGTATAAAGCATCATAAAATGGAAATAATCAAAATTGTACTTTAGTACAGCACATGTACATTCCACCACTGCCTACCTTCTTTATAAAGGTTGATTCCAACTATTCATTTACAAAAAGTGACAACAGAAGGGAAGGATGTATAAAGCACATTCAAACAGAACAATACCTGTGGAAACAACTTGAAGAAATATGCACAAAAAATACATTCAGTAGCTTTCATATTACGCAGAAAATGCTGTATCACGCAGTATATTCTGGAAGGTCAGATGCAAGGGAGTCAAAGGTCAACCAGACGTTTACAAACACAATTCACCCAAATGATGTGGAAAAGATGCTGCAGTGGGGGATAGCATGTTAAATCTGATGAGAAATGGGTTTTTTTAACTGCATTTGTGAACTTCAGCACACTGACCTTGTGTGTGAGTGTGTGTGCGAGAGAGAGAGAGAGAGAGAGACAGACACACATAGTAAAAAGAGGGATAGAGATAGTGGGTGTATTTTATAGGATGTTGGCCAATATGGTGTTTTATGTATCTATAAAGAGCTCCAAGGCCATGTTGACTTTTCATGGTTTAGAAACACTATCAGTGGTCTGAAAATGGTTGTATTGTGTGAGATCGAAGTTAAGTGCAGCATCAAAAGCTTTTACCTATTCACAGTTTGACTGAGTTGAAAGCCTGTGGTGCTTCAGTCATGTAGTCACCTTAATGGACAATTTTCAACCACAAATGTGTACAATCAACATTATACTGTATTTTTAACAGTGTGACCATGTACTATGTTTTTCTCAAAGGAAGATTTAAGAGGTGCTTGCTTTTGTCTCCAGTTTGCTGTTTTTATTTCATTTGCTCGTGCACATCTACTGTCAGAACTGTTTCATTTACCTGTAGGGAATTTCAGTTAATTATATAAAAATATATATTTTATCTTTAAGATCAACGTTTTAGTAGGTTTTCAGAGTTTTCAGACAAAAGAAAGCAAAACAATAAATCAAAACATAAAACAGTAAAATAATAAATGCAAACTTCCCCAAACATCTAAGTCATCCACAAACATCTTGATCAATAACAGAATGTTAATCACAAGTTACACAATGTTAAAATTAGGATAATAAGAGGCAGTACATGTACAAAAACACAAATCATGGCTAGGATAACATATTTGGTATTCTGTTGGGCTCCTATTAACGCCCACACCCACAAACATGGAACATTAGTTAGTTCCAGTGGAGCATTGATGTCAACTTGCTTTAGCTGATTGGCTTTAGTTGCTACATTATAAATTGCAGCCTCAGCTGTACAGTATGCATGTTGATAGTGACGTTCAGGAGTCAATCTACTCGATTCCAGATCAAGTAATCTCACAGAGAATAAATATTTGAAGACACAGATTATAAAATTTCCATTAAAGCATAACGTAGTAAACTCCACACTTATGTAGCTTGTCAATCAGTCACATTCTCTTTTCATTTTCTCAGAAGCCAATAAATCCCATAAAAAGACCAAAATCAACAATGAATGGATCATATAAACACATTGTCTGTATAGCGAGAGCCTGATTTAGCTTGTTCCTCTGTGTTATAGAGCTACATTGTTGTTCAAAAATGATGCATGTATAGGTGATAGGCTACACCGTGACATGTTCCTTTATTGTGATGAACATGGGCTCCTTACATAAATGTAAAAGTTATAAAGCACTGAAATGACTCATTTTTCCTTTCATTATATCGTAGAGTGTTTTTTTCAATGACAGCATATAAATAAAGACCTTGAGAAAGTACATGATGATCTTTTTACAGATCAGATCATTTAAGATAAAAAATTACTTTAAATGGATGGATTGTATTTTAAAACAAAGCTCTTTATTTGATTTTAGAGTCTGCAGCAGTAAAAGTGGGGGGTGCGATCATAAAGCCATTGCAGGAGAGTTCATTGACCTGGAGGTGAGCGACTAGCTCGCCCTGATGAGCAGTCAGCATTTTACTCACAGCTTGGAAACTCCATAAACTCCCGATTATGCAGGTTAATGCCCTCTCCCTCGTAGCCTATTGTAGTCATCATCTTCAGCTGTAATTGCTCTCTTGTGTCATCACATGCAGATGAAGGAGGTGGAGAGGGCTGTACAGTATATAAACAGGGAACAGTCTTGGTCTCAGTACCTTGTATTTCCCTCAGCTTGCCTCAGCATCTCTGCTCTCACGCCTCCACCCACCAACACCACCAAAATGGCCTTTGCTGGAAGATGGGAAACTGAGTCCCAGGAGGGATACGATGAGTTCTGCAAACTGCTTGGTGAGATGGATCTCTGCCAAACAACAGATGCATTTTACTTACCTACTTCTGTCCTATGATTTTCTGTACTAATTTGGGCTATTATAACCTCACACTCCACCTCTTTTCCCACTCTAGGTATCCCTGATGACATTATTGAGAAGGGCCGTGACTACAAGCTGATCACAGAGGTCACTCAGAGCGGCGACGACTTCTCCTGGACCCAGATCTACCCCACAAACGCCAAGGTCACCAACAAGTTCACCGTTGGCAAGGAGTGCGACATGGAGACCATCGGAGGAAAGAAATTCAAGGTAGGAAGCAAATCCAGAGCATAAGGTTTCAGCTGTGCATTGCAAAAACATGAATCCATGAAGGTGGCTTTAAACACAGCAGAAAGGGAATAGAGGATGAATGTACCCTGGTTCCCTGACTGATTTTAACCTGTGTTTTCAGGCCACAGTGCACATGGAGGGAGGCAAGCTGAGCGTGACCTTCCCCAACTACCACCACACCTCTGAGATCAGCGGAGGCAAGCTCGTTGAGGTAATACACTCACTTAGGCTTTTAGTCCTGAGAACCTAGCACGATGACAGCAGTTATTATACTCAACACCCTGCAGGGATTATTAGACTCATTAATGTTGTATTTCTGCAGGCGGGGATAGGCATTTGCTAACGGGAAACATAGACACATCTGTCTCACGTTTAACCCTTTAAACCTGAGTCTGAGATAATTCTCCAAATGTTTCCAAATGTTACCCATTTGCAGTAAAAGAGTATCTATTCCAATTTTTGCTTTTGAGAAATAAAACATTGTATTTTTGATTTTAAGGCTCAAAAATGGATTTTAAAAAGACTGATTGTCTTTAATGGATTTTGTGAGTGAAAGTTGTTAAAATACATATATATCTATGTTTTCATAGATATATGTCATATATATATATATATGTCATCAGTCACGAGCTAACATACATACAGTAAAAGTGTTTGGGAACTTCTATGGTCACTATATACATTTTACACGTTACACTGCTGCTATAAAAAGCACAAAAAACGTTTTGATATGTTCTGAATTATAACAAGGCACTGGAATGAAATATTCCTTACTTTAATAATGTCGTGATTTTTCCTCTCTCTCTGTCTTTAGACCTCCAAAGCTGGTTCTGTAGTGCTGAAGAGAACCAGCAAAAAGATCTAACTGCTGACTGACCTTTGACCGCTTAAAAATGGATTAATAAACTTAGAATATGAACATGAACCACAACATGTTTCCATCTACACTTCCTAGTGTTTGTTTTTGTTTGTATCCTATTGTAGTGCCATACTTTTAAGGGTAATGTGTGATTTTAAGCCACTGCTTCTGTTTTTGTTTTTTTAATATAAGAGGTTATGCAAGAAGAATCCGGGCTTTTGATTAATGCCACAGCTTAAAGGGGGTCAATGGGTTCAACTTTGCAGGGATTGGCAGCAGAAGTAGCAGCGCTATTAAAATGTTTTTGACTCTTAACTCAATGAGTTAACCTATGAGCCATATGAATGGGGTCGCAAAGGTTCGCTAGACACTGTTTATGTCTCATTAGCATCAACGTGTAAATGTGTCTCTAATCACAAACTAGAAATGGAAAATGGCCATTTAGTGTGCAATATGCAATAAAGTTAAAATATGTTTGTCAGTTATATAAGACTAATATAACAAGAGGTGGTGATAGAGGATGACAAATATGTGGATTTTTGTTAGCAATATTACTAATCTGGGTTGTAGGTAGACGTAAACAAGTCGTCTACCTACAACTGGATTAGTTACAATTACTGCCGTGGCATCTCACAACACTGTAATGTATGTAAATGATTTTTCTTTTAAACCACTTTGGATTAGCCTTTACAAAAAAATAATAATAATACAGATTATAACCTTAAACATTTACACTTTTTAACAGAATTTTGACAGTTTTTAATGGACAGCTGGACAGCTTTTCCCCTGCAAAAGCAAAACCTCAGTGACTGGGTTTTTCAGTCAGCTTCACCTATTTCAACAATAAACTTCAGATTTCTTGCTAGCTGGGTTTTCTCTGTTCTTACTAATATCAAATTTTTTATATTTCTGCGGTTTCTGATTTGTATTAAATTATGTATCTTATCTGTTTACAATGCAAGTCAAATCATGCATTGCAAGTTTAATAATTTCACAATCAGAATCAGAATGAGGTTTATTGCCAGGTACATTTTCACATACTAGGACCTTGGTGTTTATTGGTGCTTACATGGAAACATATGAACATAAACATAGAAAAAGTAAAGAGATATACAGGAGATTTGCTGTACAGGTGTCTCCTGTACAGCCATCCATTCTCTTACTGTCAGTAAATGTTGTGTCATTCTGTCATCATAGTAATGGCAGAATCACTAAAGAGCCCATCACATACATCAACTGGTGGACTAGTCTGTCAGTCTGTACTGAAGATACAGGTGTCTGGTTTAAAAAACTGTAGAAGAACCTCACTAAGTCACTAGACTTATTTTATAATCAAGAGCTGTTAACCAAATCACATACCCTATTGTAAAAAAGGCCTATTTAACTTGGTGATCAGTGCCCAGACGCCTCTTATTGCTTTGATTCAGTTGGACACTTGAAAAACTCAAAAATCACTAAAACACCTCGATATGTTTGTGTGCGATAGAAAAGCTCTGACCTACTGTGAGTGACAGTGAGGAAGTATTACAGCTCGTCTACACAGGAGTTGGGCATGCACAGGACGTGAGCAGAGCAGCATCAGCTTCAGGGCTTCATCTGTGTGTATTCCCTGATTTTAGGGGGGGGCTGCAGACTCCTCAGCACCGCTACTTCCTCCTTCTATGCTGAACCGCCATCTCAAAGACCCCAGACTTTTCAATTACCGTGGGTTTCTTTTCATTACAAGAATGCTGAAAATATAAACTATTGTCTTGAACTTTTGTCATGCAAGGGATTTACTCTGACTAAGTCAATACAAACCGACACAAATCATGTCAAATCAAATATGGTATGGATTTCTTCCTCTGTCTGTGTACTGAGCTGCTGCAGTACACTCAGTGCTGTCCCTGGTGGATGGAAGCTATATTGCTGCAACACTATTGATAAAAATGGTAGTCTCTGAATATTATCTTATATGAGACACATGTTAATTCCTTTGAATTTTTTTTTTTTACTATAACTGAGAGCATAACATTGATAATAACCATATTCTATTCTTCATTCATCATCTCTTCTGTTTTCCTCCCTATTTATTCTCCTCTACACTTGCGTTTTGCCTGCCCAGTGTTCCTCATCTATGTCCTCTTTTGATTTTTGTTTCTATTCTCCCCTTCTCTTCTGTCCTCTCTTTTCCCCTCCTTCTTGTCTCTCTCCACATCTACCCTATTTCTCTGTGGCTTCCAGCCAAGCAAATAATCAGTTAATTAACCAGCTCAGTCCCAGGATCATTGTAGCAGCTCTCAGAGGAGCACTGTAAAGGCTCTCATGTCTCTAAATTTACAGCTTCATTAAGTGGACTGGAGTAAGGTACAAATCTTTTGAATAAAATTGCCAGACTAGTGCCTCAGAGTGTGTGTGTGTGTGTGTGTGTGTGTGTGTGTGTTGGCCTTGACTTGAGAGCTGGTGACTCAATAGCTCCCTAATGACAACAAAATTTATTTATTTTTTGCCCTCTGAGGTGGCGATTGTTTTGGTGTAATATTGAGACGTCCTCTCTTGCCGGCAACGATGCAATCAAGATCTTACACTCCTGGAAAATTAGGGTTGGAAGGCAACAAGCAAGGTGTCATTTGAGAATGTTTGTGTAGCTCAGCGCTGGTGCAATCACTCTGCAATATCACTTCCTTTGTCCTCGCAGACAAACAGGCCAAATTAGCTATTTCCAAGGCTACTATTTCTGATTGGCCATTCTGCCTCTTTCTGATTGGTCTCCTTAAAGGCAACCAGATGTGGAGAGAAAATGACTTGTTAACATCTCCATGTTGGGTTTCTCCTTCTGTTTTTGTGACCGTGTACATTGCAAGCCCACTTGGAGCCAAGCCACAATATGAACTTGCATTTTCTTAACTTGTTAATAACTTAATTTGTTATTCAGAGAGTGTATTTTGTCTGTGACTAATTTCACTTCAGTATTACTTCACATTGCCAAACAAACATTTACAGCTTAGGTTAACTGGACCCTCTAAATATCCCACAGGTGTGACTCCAACAGTAAATGTTCATCTGTCTGGATGTGTTAGCCCTGTCATAGACAGCCTCTTGCGAAATGTGCTGAGTCTCTGCAAACCTGCATAGGATAAACCGTCTAGTCTTCTACTACTAGTCTATGTCAAAGCACAACACTGTTAGAGGCAAAGGAGAGTCCTCTCTTTCTGTCCTTGGTTTGTGTTCCTCTTTTGCTAGTGCACAATGAAATGATCATGCAGAGAATGCACAAAAATTTACTGAAGAAAGACAGACATAACTACAGATTTAACCCATTAATTGTAAGAACGCACACACTTTACTACACATTTTTGAGTGCCGATTCCAAGGAAAATATATCTAAGCCTCAATTTTACTGCTCATGCCTAAGCATCAGTAGATAAAATATGAAATTTTATAAAGGTAATGAAATGCCAAGCCAACATTGGAAATGATTTAGTGGGATATCAGCTAGCTAATGTCAGATCATATTAAGTAAAATAAATGCTAATTAAGAAACTCTGAAGTTAGGAAAGTGTATTAAACAAGCTAGATAGCTAAATAGTGACATTAACTTACAATGTCTCCATTAGCGTGTGATGCAATGGACTGGCCAGCTGGACTGGCACAGCCGCTGGTGACAGGACGTTAAGGTTAAGAAATCGTATGGTCCATTTTAGGGGGCGTCTGAAATCGTATTTCTTGAGGCATGAATATGGGAAATATTTTGTATTATTTGCAATTACAGGTAAGAAAGACACCCCTGAACTGTTGTCTCCCTCTTTTTGGTGGTTCAAGTCTTAATTAAGAGGATCAGACCCCCCAAAGATAAATGGACCATGATCTCATTGAGTACAGACACTTATTTATAATGCTAAAGGCTCACTGCCCACATAACATTTAACATTTGTGTTTCGGCTTTGGGGTATAAAACTGGACAACTGTCCTACCATTTGCCGTTAGGAAATGGTTTATGGGTCACAGCTCAAAATTCTTAACATTAACTTGCATTACAGCAGAGAAGACATTTTACCCTCCTCTAAATTAAAAGTAAATTAATTTTCCTAATAATACTGGTAGGTGTGACTTTGTACTTGCTCTTATGACTGAAAATAACTCTCCCAAAATAGTCAACTGTGACTGAATCTAGTACAGGCAAAATCTGACCTGTGTTCAGAGTTCTGTTTATTTCATCAAATGTTTTGACACTGGTTTGCAAAACACATAGTCCCATTGTGTACTGGTGGCAGCTTCCTTCATATGTGAGTAGCACTAGTCAACTTAGTCAACATTTACTTTATGAAATGGACTCAGAAATGCTTGTTTTTGTTCCCCAATTTCTTAAAAAAAACAAAAAAAACTTGATTTTCTATTTGCTACCACTGAAGTACCTCTATCTTCCCCCCGCTCCAATTTCAATCACACCGGCTTAAATCATAGTGCTTTGGGGAATGCACTGAATAAAGATATACAGAGAGACAAAAGAGAAAGTGATTCAGAGGGGATGAGAGACGGATTGAGGCAATAATAAAAACTAGAAACAGCAAGAGAGAGAAAATACTCTCGGTAGGATAATGAAGGGGTGACATACCACGATGTGATTGGCACATTAGGCATTAATAACCTGGAATTACCTGTGATAACCAAGGTAACACTGGCAATTTGCTGGAAGTTTTCCTGTCTTGGTGAAAGATGGTTGATCGAACTGGTTGGAGAACAAAACCAGGGAGTTCAATTTAGAATTAACTGCATGCATTTCCAGCTCATAGCTATAGCCTGGGACAAAGAACCCAGCTGCTTTTCTCACACTATGCCTCTATTGTTTCATTGTGGTTGTATCACAATGCACTCCACCAAAAATTGGAATATATAAGTCGACTTTAAAAGAGATTTTTCCAACTATCCCATTTGTACACGGTTTACAAAATGGATTGTACCTGAGCAAAGCAGTGAGTTCATTTCTTCAAGATCCCTTTCTTATCCCATGTCCACATGATTGCAGATACATCTACAAGCACAGATAATGGTACGTGCCATTTTCTACCTTCACAAGCATTGTAAAGGTGTTGGATAAAGTAAGTGCTTGTCAGATGATCTGAAACCCTCTCTACCCACCCACATCATTTTGTAACATCAGCATTAAGGGGTGTGTGTGTGATCATTATTTAACTTTCCAAAACTGACAGTCCGACATCCACTTCAAACAGATGTGTAGAGGTGGGAAAGTAAGCAGTATTTGAACTCTCTCAAGACTTCTCACCCTGAATGCCTTCCAGCAGCCAGTGTCTGAAAGTGTGCAGCGTCATCCCAATTTGAATGATTTTTTATATTGAAATTGTTTATGTGACATAGCTCAAAATTGTAGAGAAAACAGATATTTCAGCCTTCTCTTAGTTGTATATTTATATTTATCACTCTACATGCTCTGCACACCCATATAAGCATTTTTATTCACTTTTATTTTAAATAGCTAATATCTGGCATTTCTACTGTGTTTTTAATTTCATTTCATTTCATTTATTTATTTAAGGACAGTGCACATTAATCAACATTTCTGTAAATGTGCCAGTGTTAGCCAGCAGGCTAATTTTCAACTGTAGTCCAATTGGTTCTGTGCTATATTTTTAAGCTGTGATCTTTGCACGTAATTTCGTACTACAGTGTACTGTGGAATGACAATAAAGAAATCTTGAATCTTGAATCTTAAAAGAGTAAATTCATTGTCACTTCATGCTTGCTCTTGTGGCTGGAAGTGGTGTAACACTCCCAAAATAGTCGACTGAATCCAGTACAGGCAAAATATCTACAACTTATATTCTGTCGCAACATGTGACCCGTGCTCTGAGTTTCTATTCAGACTAC